CACCCTGCAGGCGTGGACCTGCTGTGGGCAGCAGCAGTAGCAGCCGTCAATGAGGTTCAGACATACATTTCCCTTCCCATTGCTATGGCTTTGATAGCAGTCTTAACTCTCAGCATTACACCATCATGAGCTGAATGCAGATTTGGTGTCACTGAAGTACGGAGAAGATGAGGGCAGTGTATTAGTTGTTTTGTTTAAATATCAGCTCAATTGTATCTCCTCTTGGTGAGGGACAGCTCTGCTTTACTCTTCTGTTAAGGATATGAGGGTTTTCTTTTGCAGGAGCAAAGTATTAGGTTGGTAGGATTCCCACCTTTCCCTTTGCTTGTCCTTTGGCAGATGCCTCTGGCAGAAGATCGTGGCTTTGTTTGTAATGCAGCACTGTAGATCGTCCTTTATGGCTGATCCAGAGGAGATTGTTGCAGGCATCAGTAACAGAGCTTTACGCTTAAAGCAGCTTGTGTACTTGTGTCTGCGGAGATGCTCAGTGTGATTCCTGGCTGGCTGTCCAAAAGCGCTTTTTTTTTCACGCTACGGTTGGAGATGAGTCAGCAACAGTGAGATATATACTGCTGCAAAGATGCTGTGTTCAGCAGTTCAGATGGCATTAGTGATCACTGTCCTGCTGTGATTAGTGCCTAAACCATCAGAGTTGTCTGTAATTAATCACCTGAACTGGACTTCAGGAAGCCCATGTGTGGACTTTTCTCCACCATTCTGTGGCTTCACCTCCCGTCTTCTTTGGAAGAGACAGGAACCGGCTCTGAAATAGTCTTTATCCTTATTCATCTCAATAAGGGTCAACTCACTGCAACTGCTGACCATGGTCAGACTTTGAATAATTTTTTCCTACCAGACATTTAATCCCTTGCAGCTTAATTGCCTGGGAAATAGTTCACGCCCAGTATTGACTGTTTATTCCTTAAAATGAAAAGCAAAGTATCAGCTTCTGCAGGAAACGATTTTTCTTCATTTGACTGAGTCTAAAGTCAACAAGGCATGCATATAGTTCTCTGTATTTTGAAGTAGACATCCAAAGGGTCAGGGCAGCAGGCATTTCTTGGATCACACCCATTGACCTTAGAAATCCTCTGGTTCCTTAAAATCTCCATAACTTCTTCAGTACTTTCATTACAAAGGCCAAGCAAAATCAATTAAAACAGAGAAGGATAAATTCTGTTGTAAAATCACACTCTGAAAAACATAAAAAAAACAAAGATGGTTCTGAAAAATAAAAAAGTCAAGTCAAGACTAAGTTTAAAGGCAAATATCTTAGCAATCCTGAATATAAACTGGAATCTGCTTTTGAATTTGGAACCTAGTAAAAGCCTCTTTAAATCTGCTTGGACGATAGAGATTCAGGGATCTGTTTGAACATAGCAGATTGAAGCATTGTGGCTTTTGTGTCATGATCTCAAAACATCCATTTGTTTGTGCACATTAAACAAATACACAGATTTTCTTTCCTGATAATTAGCATGGCATCAGATGGGCACGAGATTATTGTATTTTCTTCTACAGCTAACTTAGGAAAAGGGGGGAAAAAAAAGTACTGCAAGGAGACAAATCTGTTCCCGTCATAAGCAAAACCCATCTCATTCCTCATGGCTTTTTATTGTGGATGAGGCCCTGAGCAACCTGATCCAACTCTAAAACTGGCCCTGCGAACTTTACGCTGCCTGACTTGGACTGCTTTATTATAGAAAATAGAAAGGATGTATTTTTAATAACCTTTTCTTTTAATCCTATAGGTTTAAGCCAATAATCAAGAGGAACAGCAGATTGCCTTAGAAGTTCAGTTTTTCTGTGGCTGTGTTTGGTGTTTCCATTGTCATCATGCAAGGATGGTTTGGGAGATGCAATTGTTTTCCTGACTTTTTGGAGACAAATGTTTTAAATGGTCTCAGACTACATGGGAAGAAACTGTCGGTTATGTGTATGTAGTCCTTGCCACAAACACTTAATGAAATCTGGCTGCACAACTAATTTTAGGGACGCTTTAAAGTAGTGTGAATTTTTTTTCTTTCTTTTTTTTTTTTAACTATTCTAGTATCAAATGTTTGGACAAAACAAATGAAGCCCCGTTTGGATAACTCGGAGAACCGAAATGAAACAACATAATAAATTGATGTCCACATTTGGATACCTTAACCGTTATTTTTGCCGTGGCCTACAACTATAATTGCAAAGCACTAATAAACACTAGTTCATTAGTGATGGCAGTTGAAAATGTTCTGTACAACTGAAGCGTGGGAAGGAGAGTAATTCCTGTTAAACACTGTGGTAATCTCCAAGTTTGTGGTGCAAAGTACTTTATAAATGTACCGGTTTTATAGCAGAATATTAGGCGAGGTTAAGGTAAATACGATCTTCTGAATACAAGTTCAAAGCAAGTATCCAGTAACTGAAAGTGGGCTGATATTTCATCTTTTTGTTTCCTTATGTTCAGTAGAATTTGTATAGCCTCTAGTGACTAATGACTTCTCTCATCAATTTTTCTGCTTTACAGGGCATGTGTCATAACAAATTTCAGTCTTTTGTCACCTCTGTCTTCATCTGACTAAACTAATAACTACGTTTGGACTCATAACACCCTTTCACTGGACGTGTTAAAAAAAACCGTGTGGACTTGGCACTTCAGGACATGGTTTAGTGGGCTTGGTGGTGTTGGGTTGATGGTTGGACTTGATGATCTTAAAGGTCTCTTCCAACCTTAATAATTCTGTGATTTTGTGATTCTGTGATTCCCACACTTCCAGGTTCTGCAAGTTCTTGTCTTCCAATATCACTCGTTTTTCTGAACCTGAATGAGATGTGACATTTTATAATAAAGAAGTTAATTATCTAATAGTTTAACCTGTTTGTTTAACTTCCCAAGTGGCCAGCTTATCAGTAGCCTGATAAGAACAGGTTTTTAATAGGCATAGATGAGTCTGTTACATTCATTTAAATTGTGATCTAGGCCATATCTGAAAGTAGGCTAGTACCCAAAATTCACTGAGCCAGAGTACCCACAGCTATTAATTCGTAAAATAGTGTCCTTCAGAAGTTTTTCTACTTGACCCACTTTCTAAATGGGATGGTACACCTCATGGTTCATTACAGATAAAGAAATTGGGGATTGTCATTTGTTTGATGCTATGTACTGCAGTCCCAGGCAGCACTGAGGAAAAAAAAGCAATATTTTATTGGTCTTGAGTCCCTCATTTTTGTCTCTGGGCCCATTAGAAATACACTTTCAATGTTTCCATGTAGCAGTACAGTGTAAAGCACATTAACACAGACTGTGGATCGCTTTTCACTGGTGTGGGTGGTAATGCCTTGGGGATCGCAATCCAGCTAAGCACATTCTTGAGTGTTTCAGTGAACAATGTACAACTTGTAAGGGCTGATCTGTGGTGTCTCTCTTCACGTAGCTGGTGGTCAATTTTCTGTGGTAAGACACCTCACTGCATCCTGAGGAAAGCATGGGCTGTAGGACAAGCTGTATTTCTCTCGTGGCCCCATGTAGTGAAGGGAATGTATCCTACCATCACATGTAGCCAGGATTCTTACAGGATTTTAAACTCTTTGCTGTTGTTCATTTGTGTTGGTCCAAGCCAAGGACTCATTAGTATAAGATGTTTCTATACGAAAGCTTGCAGTTTTTGCTCTAAGTTAGGCTACTTCACTGTCCCTGAATGGTTTATTGGGTTTCAGAAACGCAAAAGGGTTGGTGAGAACAGGGAATCTTCACAGACTGCAAAAAAGTAACAAATACTGTATTTCTGGTTTGGTATATTTGCATTTTGTTAGCGTGCGGTTGACTCATGTCGTGTTGAGAAACCTGAAATGGCCAACAGAGACTCTGAAGGTTCTGCAGGAGAAAGAGAAGTTTTTCTGGGGTACCTGAAGATCATTGTCCTCATTCTTGAATACTTGATTGACAGTGTTCAACTGTTCTTGTTTCTTTTTGTTTCACATTTAGGAGGCTTTTTTCAAAACATTTATTTATATTGTATGCAAGCCTTTCACTTGCAATGGAAGTGGTTTGTGCATGCTGTGATCTGCAGCACTTCAAGGATAGGAGGGTTTTTTCCTTCAGTTAGTCTAATAGAGAGAGGGGCTATTCTAGGAGGATTCAGTCCAGCCATGTTTGTCATCTAATCAACTTAGAGTTTGAATCGGGATGGCTGGGGACATTTAGGCCTGAAACCAGTGTGTATAATTAAAATACTTAACTGGGACACTTCATGTGGGAGCCTAGTCATGTCAGCTCCCTTACATAGTCAATAGATCTCCAAAGGGCAGTTCCAACAACCTAAACTCTCCGGAGAAAGCATATGACATCTATGCTCCTTAGAATTAAGTGGGATGAATTTTGGCCTTAACAGCTAATAATGGGTGATGTCCTACATACAGGAGCATAGTATTGCAGTCCTGCAGAGTAATGTCATTGCACTGTATCTTCCATGATGAAGCGCATTCTTCATGGATTTATTCCAAGCCAAGACAATGAACAAGAACACATTGCTGAGTGATGACTGACAAGAAATAGAACTGCTTGGCACGGTGGAATTAAAGTGGAAAACACAGCATTTGTATCTGCAGTGTTTGTGAAGCAATCTGTTTCTACTTTGTCTTGTAGGGATGACTGCATATCTTCATGGCTGCCACTTCACAGTGTATGATATAAATGCTATTCAACACTGCAGTGAGCATCTACTTCTAGCAGTCTTGGACAGCATAAGCTACGTTCTAAACTGTGACGGCTGGGTGCAGCTATGGTATAATGTGGAGGTTAAGGCCAGCTTGATTTAGACTTTTAAAAGGATCATATTTAAAATTGCCATTGACTGACCTAATGTGAGCTGCTATAGCTGACTGATAAAGGCTATCTCAGACTGTAATTGGCAAATAACTGATCAGTGTCTTGACTCAAAAGCCTTTAAAGCTTTATTTCTGCATCTTCTCAGGTACCTCTGCAGGAAGTTAAAAGAAGGACAGAACAAGAAACCACCATGTCTTCAGTCTCAGCTTATTACAATGGAAAGACCGTACTTATCACAGGAGCTACAGGTTTCATGGGCAAAGTACTGGTGGAAAAGCTTCTGCGCTCCAGCCCTGAAGTAAAAGCAGTTTATATACTTGTCAGGCCAAAGGCTGGACAATCAATGCAAGAGAGAGTGGCCAACATGTTGAAATGCAAGGTAAGTTTCTATATTTTATTCTAGAGTCTAATCTGAAATCCATTTAGCTGGGTGAAGCAGAGGACTTCTGTTATCCTAAATTAATGAAGAACAAAGTACCATCTTCTACTGTAAATGTTGTATATTTTGTTTTATTGTACATGAATGAACCTGGATCTGTCTTATTTTGGTAGGTGATGCAGGATTTTGCACTGTAGTGATGTAACTCTTCTTCTTTTCTGCATTGCTGTTTGCTGAGAATTTTTTCAAAAACGTGTTATCTTAGCAAATTTCCTTTTTGCGAGAAGAACAGCATTTTGCTCTCATGAACTAACTCTTTTCCTTCCCCCACTTTCAAAACATAACGTTCCAACATTCAAAAATAAAACTGTGAGCCTATCACACTCGATACTTGCCCAATAATGGGGCATTAAACTTATGTCATAAGGCAAAGCCTGGTGGCAATGTGTAGTGCGCTGTGCACTGCTGCAGTACAGTAGGGCATCTGCCATCTTCTTATGTCAGCTCCAGTTTAACCTTACTTATGAAGTGATAAAATACTGTTGTGTTTTAAAAGGGCGCTTTCCAAAGTGGCTTGCAGCAGAACGCAAAGGCTAAGACAGCCCTGTGAATTTGAGGAACAGACCTGTATGACCTCCGCTCATGTAGCGTGCTTTGGTGAGGAAAAGGAGGTCTCCAGTGTCAAGAAGGATATCAAAGCCCTTTGCTGTACTGAATGTAAAGATTTGTACGGAGACACTGCTAGACTGGTTATATTGAGTGGACTTGGCTTGAGGTCCTCAAGGTCCTCAGGAGCTTAGGCCAGTGGTGAGATCATGAACTTGCTCAGACTCCTCCAGCCATGATAAGTGCCAGAGTTCAAGCTAATGCTTACTGCTAATGTGAGTTTGTACATAGCTGATCTGAAATGAGGGGAGGGAACAGATCTGGCCCTAGTAGACAAGGAATTACTTGGAATTAATCCGAGAAAGGTCAACGTATCTTTGGAGTATTGATCTAGAACTTTGAACAAGGCTTGACTGGAAAAGTACTCCTCTTAGTTCTGTTGGCATTAGAGGTAAAATAGGGCTATTTATAAGTAAGATAACTTACTTAGAGACAAGTAGGTCTGGGAGAGGCTTGCATTTTCCTGCTAACGTTTTGAGGCATCAAGCTAGAAAATCTTAAGTATGTCCAACAACAGAGTTTGACTTTGTGTTTTCAACAGAGGGTAGGTTTTTTTCCTGTTCAGGAAAATTTTTAAGTGATATAAAAGAAAAGTATCACATTGGTTGCTTTTTGCAAGTCTGTCAAGTGCACAATTTTTCATTATTTTTCTTTTCAATGAATGTTTTTCAGCTGTTTCTACAGTTTTCATCACTGAAGACTGTAGGTAATGGTTTTCATTATCAAACAACAAAATCCCAAGTGTGGCATGTTTGCATGGCTTTTTGCCTTTTTTTTAACCCACTAAGAAAATGGCGAACGAAGCTTTTTTTTTATAGACTTCTGTAAGTTTTGTTTGCATTTTCTGTATGAATATTGCTGGCTTATCTCTTTAGTTGGCCAGCACAGCTTAGTGGTGGTGTTTAGCTCTAGGTGAGGTTTCCTATTAGCTGTTTTATTGTTGCAGCTGTACTAACGGTGCCCCTTTTTTCCCTAGCATGTGTCAACAATTTTAGACATGCCAACAGCAAACAGGACTTGATAACCTCTCCTTGAACCTTTAACAGCCTGCTTCAACATGTTTCAAATGAACAAAAGAAGGGGGCAAGTCTCTAAGTTAGGTTGCTGCAGCCTGGAAAAGAAAAAAACTATAGGGGTATGCTCACAACTCATTCAGGTCCCCTCAAGGAAGCAGGTGCCTTTTTGATGCTGTTCTTTTTAAAATAAAGGAAAATACTTCCCTAAGGCAGAAACCCAACTGTTCAAAGGTTATTTCCATGTGAAAATGTTGACAGTCTTTGGTTTTTTTCTAGAAGTGGAACTGTTAATATTATGGCAGGTGAAGAGGGCAAGAAATATTACTCTTAACATTTTTGCAGATTGTTTCCAGTTAAGTTTGCTGAATGCCTTTAAGCCACATAATCAGTTATTCACAAGCTAGAGACCACACTTTGCATTTACAATTCTGGTTTGCATCCTCCAGTTTGGGAAACCTCTGAGCTATGTAACAAATAAAAAATGCAGCAAAAGCTTATCCCAAGTCTTCAGGCAACATTTGTATTTGACATTCCTGATCATAATCTCTGATGAATGCATATATTTGAGTATGCATAGGAAAATTCAGAATAAAATCCCTTCTCTTCCTCATGTGTACATACATAATCTCTACTGCATAATTATTCTTTTCCCCCACAAACTGTTGGATTTAATGCAATACAGTATTTGTGTCTGGTTTTACAAGAAAATACTTTATTTCTACTTTCATATTCTACTCTATGTAATCTTCTTTACTGACCAATCACATATTCACTTTGAAAGTAACTCTTTCTTCTTTTACGTTATGCTTTGGCCCAGTTTTATCCTCTGGAATTTCTTCTTTTCACATCCAGAAGGGAAGTATTCCAGGAACCAGAGGAATAGAGAAAAACAGGTTGCCAGCTTCTAAATATTCTTCTTTAGAATATTTAACAGATAAAAATAGTATTTGGGATGAAATAAGATGAAAGCAGAGAAGTAGATTGTCAGGAATTAGTTGCACTGCATAATGCTTAGGTTCTTCAGGTAAGGTCCTCTGGGGACTCCTGATTTTCGGTAGTACTTAACAATATTTTGAAAGAAATTGCCTATCATTTTTAATCTCGCTTCATAGAGCTCTGTGACATTTTTTGTTTTCTATCATTATATCTACAGGGGTTTAAATTTTGAGGGGTCACATTTGTGAACGGTCTTGTTCACAGTGTGTACATGTGAATATGCTGGAAGCTGACTCCTGTTAAATAAAAAAGCAACTTTCTGTTGCTTTTGTAAGTTAGAAAAGGGTGATGCAGTGTGAATGGGCAAAATACCTTAGTTTGTACTTTTCAAATGCTTATTACATGGAATTTTTCAAATTCTGAATCCAACACGAAGAGTAAAATATAAAAAATAATTTGGGCATAAATCAGAATTCTTCCACTGTATTCTGGAGTAGTTGGCATTGAAATGTAATATAATGCTGTTTTTCCTCCGATGTTGTAAAATCAGTTTCCCATGAAGATGCGTTATTGCACTAATATGAAATGTATAATGAACAGATACTCAATTATCTCAGCATCAACTCCAAAATGAGTGTGTGCATTGAGGAATGCGTGGCTCATGGTGACCTTGCCTATTTATGAAGGGAGATGTTTCTATTTTCCATCAGCGAGTCCCTAAGGGAATCAAGCTATTACCCTGTGCTTGATGAAATGCCATGTCTGCATGGCACAGAGCACAGCTGTTACACAAAAAAACCACATTTCAGTATTGTCTTCACTCTGGATATTTCCATAGATGTGGATCACAAGGCAAAGCTTGACAATGCTGTTTTACTTGTTAGTTGATGGCAGGTGTATATTTATTGGAGGTAGGAAATTGTTTCAAGGAGTATTTTTTTGATGCCTTCATGTGCAGAAATAGGTAGGAATGCTCGGAGGGGTTGTCTCAGATTCCCTGGAGAGCAGTTACTGGGCTAACGCTGAGTCACTGGTTGTTGCTTTCACGTTGTCCCTGGGAGAGCAGAGCTTCTTCCATGCCCTGCGTGCAATGAACCAAGGCTGCTTGCTGCTGCCGGGCTGTTTCTCAGGTCTGTTTGTTCAGTGCTCCTAATTAGAAAGATCAGTCAGAGTGGGCAGTGGAAAAGACACATGTTAATGTCTCCGATAATTCAGAGGGAAGATGGGGAGGCTGTGAGGCTGCTGACAATGGGGAGCAGATATTTCTGACTGTGACCAGAAGTACTGTAAAGTGCTACTTGCTTTTTTATGTTGTCCAACCACAGTTAACCCTTATTGTTAACCCTTAGAGTTACGGTAGATGGTACAGGTAGTCCACCTTCTCTTTCCTGCAAAGCTTTGTCTGGAACTACACATTGTGATGGGACTGACCACTGAAAACAGCAGAAGTTCAATGTTATCAGACGCCTTTGCCTCTTCGGTATTTCGTTGTCAAGTGTGCTATGCTTATCAGCAAATACACAGCAAGACGCTCCGTTAGCCCTATAAATTTCACCAAATCATGCGAGAATTCTTTTTCCATCTCCCTTGACTATCTCTTTCTCTACTCCCTCGCTCATGCATCTTGCTCATCACCATAAGCAGTAAAGGTTCTCCACGCCACACCAGTGCAGTGTCACTCCCCCCGGAAGTTTAGTGTTCCCTAAATCTGCTGCGACCACTGCTACGGTGCATGGATCAGTACTCGGAACAGAGTAATGAGGTTTTCTGGTTGATGTAATGGGATCCCACTTGCTCAGTAAGAGGTGTGGAAACTGCTAATTGGAGTGAAACAGAGCTGAAGATGTTTTCTATTTTATTATTTATATAATTTGCCTCACTTTTGTCAGTAGATTATCAGACAGAACTCTGGTATTTGTGTGCCACAGGAACGAATCTGTCATTTTAACAAAACTTTATTTTTCACTTGATCCCATGATTTGTAAGCCGTGTGGTAGAGAGGAGCTAAATCTTAAGGGTGGTAACATAACTGACACAAATGAAGGCAAGGGTCTCGAACCATTCTGTGCCACTATTGAAGCGAACACCATCTGCTGCCTTGTTCCATTTAATTTCTTTCTCTTCTCCAATTTGTGTTTCTGTGTGAAGAAGGCTGGTAAGATTTCGCTTTATATATTTTTGGCTAATAGCCTGCTTTCTAAAGCGCCAGGAAGGGCCAACAAGACATCTGGTGCTTCCAGCGAGATAACCTTTCACACTGGACAAAAACAAAGCCACCGTTAGTCCTAAGCTCAAGATTCTCTCACATGTCCGTGGTGGCACCTTCTGCTGTTGGATGTTTGCAGCCTTGCTGTTACTGCTGCTCCTTGGCGCTTGGCTCTG